CACAGTAAAATGTGGTGTTTTGCATCTTTTGTGGATGCTTGTTTTATAGGTTATAATGTTGGTTTGTGAGAGTGTTATTACAACATGATCCTTCATTTTTGCAAATGGCAGAATTATTTTGTGCCTTTATTGGAAGTAGTTTTTCACAAAGTTGCTCTCAGCTTTGAAAGAAATATCTCTTAAATGCGGTGGTTGAGGATGAGATAGACAAGCTTCGGCATTCAGTAAGCATCATTCAAGCAGTTTTTGAAGAATGTAGAAGAGTGACAAGTGAAGGAGAAGCAGTGAAAATATGGTTGGGTGAGCTTAAAGAGTTGCCTGATGTTGGACAATTTACTTGATGAGTTCTGCTTGAATGCTCTAATGGATAGGAGCCGAGGCTTCTTCGTGACGAGGTCATTTACCGACTTCTTTCCTTCTTTGAAACCAATTGCAATTTATCTTGAATTGTTCCCTAAGCTAAAAGAAATTAGAAAAGATTAGACTTTTTGGCATCTAAAGGCTAACTTTCAATGAAAGAAGGTGCGATGTTGAAGAGGAAAGACAAACTGGGTTCTTTCTTATTGAAAAGAAGTTGTTGGAAGAGGTCAATGGAAAAAATTCTGTTATCCTTATAGTTGGTTAGGAACTCTGGGGAAAAATCATTCTAGCTCAACTTGTTATAATGATGAGAGGGTGACAGAGATTTTTTAACGGAAACTAACATAAAGGATTATAATGTATCATAAGAGTCAAGAACATAAGGCAACTGTTTGAGGTTTATAATTTACATAAATTCTCTTATGATGTTTGAAATAATAAAATTTCTTTGATTGAATAAACCATTAGTTTGGGCTATAAGATATATATATAAATTAATAATATTATAAAATTGTTTTCATTATATATTTAATTTTATATTTAATGATACGGATTTATTATACTTTATAAATTAGATTATTCTTATTATCAAACCTAAGGCCGTTAATATGATTTTTTATATAATATAAAATTAGTATTATAATCATAACAAACTCTCATAATATTATTTTAATAATATAATTATTTCAACAACATAATTAGTTTAACAATCTCGGAAAAATTATTATCCTTTAATTTTTAATACATCACACCACAATGTAAATATAAATCTTTATATATTTAAAATTTGGAAGAACAAATAGAAAAAAAAAAAAAAAAACATTTTTAATATCATCGTAAATTAAATTCAAATTTCAATACTAGATTTATTTAAATCTTAGACAATTTAGTTGGCTTGGTCATTTAACTGGATAATTTTGGAATTATAGAAAACATCCTGAAACGAAAAGCAACCATCCTCCCCTGAACACATGGCTTTGAGATTCCCATTTCGTTCGTCTTCAATCTCTCCAAAACCCATCTCTGAAGGTAATATTTCATCTTTGTTAGCTCATTTAAACAACCTCAAGTCTAACAATGAAGTTTTGTATTCTTCGAAAAACCCCTTGAACGATCCTCACTTGCTAAATTCCTCAAAGAAAATGTCGATCAGGTAACTTTACTCTGAATGAAGCATTTTACTTTTTCTATTACATGATTAATTCGCAACCCATTTTCAATTTCATCATTCACTACTTGCTTAGTGCATGCAAAGAAAGAAGCATTATTGAAGTGATTTCGCTTAAGTGGTTGAATTCAATGGGTTGTCTCCGATTAATGTCTTTGACCGTTTTGATCGATTGCTTGTGTAAAATTGAAAGGGTTTTGATGGTTTTTGCCCTTTTGGGGAGATTTTGAGGAAGGGCTTCAGCCCAGATGCTCGACTTTTAATTGTTTGATCAAAGGTCTGTGTTAGAGAGAAAGATTGCGGAGTCGATTGAATTATTTCAGAAAATGGTTGTTGTTGGTTGTAGGCCTAATGTGACTACTTATGGGACTTGATTGGTGGATTGGGGGAAGTGTTGCCATTAAATTGCATGAAGAGATGGTTAATGGGAATAAAAAATCTGGTGTTATTTGTAGGCCAAATGTTTTTACTTATATACTATAATTGATGGTCTTTGTAAGGCTAGATTAATGGAGAAGGCCGAAAATTGTTTTGGAAATGAAGGGTGGAGTCAGTCAGACAAAATCACTTATACCACTCTAATTCATGGTTTTTGTTTGTGGGTGATTGGGAAAAGGGTACAAGTTTATTATTGAAATGATGGATCAAGATGTGCGGCCTTCTTGGTGACGTTTAATGTGCTCAGATGAACGTTGCTAGAAAAAGGAAATTGGACGAAGCAAATAGGTTTTGGAATGTAATTCGAGAGGGCTGGATCCCACTGTTTAATACAACATTTTTATGAATGGATTGTGTAAAACAGGGAGATAAGTCCGCCATTAAGTCTTGAAGAAATGGCTAAGGGAAGAAGAATCTGGTGTTATTTGTAGGCCAAATGTGACTTATGTACTATAATGATGGTCTTTGTAAGGTGGATTAGTTAGAAGGCGATAGATTGTATTTCAAATGAAGAGTTCGGGAATTAGTACAGAGTTGTAATATATAACCATTTGATTAATATGCTTTGTAAAAATGGACAACTAGAAAAGGCAAATGAGTTGTTGTCACATATGGAGGAAAAAGGTTGTGCTCCAAATGTACTCACTTTATACCTTATGTTTGGTTTCCTCAAGAATAATGAGACACAAAAAGTTGTTGAACTCCTTCATAAGATGGCGGAGAGAAATGTGAAGCCAACAATGTACAATGTCTAGTCATGTAGTTTCAATGAAGGCGAAATATCGTGAATGTTTGAACCAGCTTCCTCAATTTCCAGTCCAAAAGCAAATTGAAGTTTCTTGCTAAAAATTTAGTGAGTATTAAACTTTTTTTAGAGGAGGATCCTGCAAAAGTTCACCAGCAGCCCAAATGCTCAATTTTGGTTACTCTAAGAAGAAAGTCAGTAAACACTTTCATTGTTGAATTTGATAGGGAGGTGATGGGGATGATTGAGAATGTGGCTTCCCTAATCAGACATACAATTACTGATCAGTCTTGTTGTAAGTGCACATAGTGGAGGTGGCAGCATTGCTGTCTGTTAGCATTTGCACATGAAATTGGTCTAAAGAGTTTGAGGATTATTTCTGGTGCAAATTCAGTAAGCAAAAGTTGTATATGAGAAATTGTGGAATGGTTCTTACTTACTAGGACAATAATGGTCCAAAGGATGATAATTCTTTATAAAATGTGAGTTGATTTATTGTGGAGGCTACTTCCGCAGATGGATTGGTGCTTCTGAAATCCCTAATCCGACCAGTATAGAGTTGATTATTGCAAACAATGTGAGCATCTCCCTGCTCTCGGACAATTACCGTTCTTGAATGTTACTACATGTGTGGCATGTTGGCAGTGAAGAACATTGGGAGCCAATTTTATGGTAGAGGCTCAAGAAGACCATTCCAGTCCCTTAAAGAACTCACCTTCATAGATTTTCCCAATTTGGAATTTTGGGGAGCATGAAGCAAAAGGGAATTCCCTTCGCTGTCAAGCTAACTATCAGAAATGTCCTAGGTTGAAAAACATGCTGTGGTTTTCATCTCTTCAGCATCTAGAGCTAAGGCATTGTAATGAAATGATCCTTAGGTCAACTGCAAACTTTCTACACTCTTAAATCTTGTAATTGATGTCTTCAACGGGCTGTTGGTTTCTTGGAAAGCTGCTTGAAAACAATCCTTGTCTCATGTATTTAACAATTAATCCTCTCTAAATATTCGCTCGATATCCTCAAAGTTAGGAGGCTTGACTGCTCTTAAATCGTTAACAATCCGTTGGTGTCAAGAGCTAATCTCTCTGCCACAAGAAATTCAAAACCTCTCCTCATTGGAATCTTGGAGATCCGTGAGTGCATCAGCCTTATAACTTTGCTAGAAGGTTTCGAGGTTGAGTTCGCTGGTACGATCACATTCCATCGAGAACTGCAGTAATCTAGCATCTGTACGAAAGAGCTCCAACATCTGACAGCTCTTGAACATTTAACGATAATGTATTGCCCAAGCTTGGCTTCTGCCAGCCAACTTCAGAAACTTCTCCATGCTACAGAGTTTGTTACATTTTGAGCTGTCCCGAGCTGGCATCTCTCGCTGAGGAGCTACAACATGTCACATCCCTGCAAAGCTTGGAAATCCATAGCTGCTGCTTTCGAAAATTTACCTGGAGGATTGAAACCTTTCTGGTCTACTTCTTTAGCATTATCAGATTGTCGGGCCATGTTTCACTCCAGAAGGCCTGCACCATTGACTAGCCTCCAACATCTTTCCATCAGGGAATGTCCAGCTGAACATCGCTGCAAGAAAAATCTCGGTGAGGATTGGTGGGAAAATCGCTCACATACCACACATCTACATTGGATCAACTGCACCTAGGAATTACAAAATGCAAGCAGCTGTCTTGTTAAGAAAGGTGTGTAACTTGAATTTATTATTTTGCTCTTAGCTTCTTCTACAAAACTTGAGAGATAAGTGCAGTTGCATGTAAATTCTAGAACGATTACCACTTTACTAGGCACCATGTATTTCTTCCTTTTGTTAGAAATAATCTAGGATACTTCATGAATATCAGATCAAGTTATTTATGCATCAAGCAAATAATTCATTGTATTAAGAGGGTTGTAACTTATATATGAATCTGGATTTTGTGGAAAATGAAATAAAATATTATCTAACATTGTCATTATAATGAACTCTTCTTAACAATTCTGTTTGAGAACCATTAAAGTGTCCTCAACTAATAAGATCCCGTATATATATATCACTAGTGCCATGGATATCAAGTTCATTTTCATTATGGTGCATCTCAATTGCTTTGTATATCAGTTGTTTGTGATTACTACTGTAAATTGACCCTGAACTTTGCCACTGAGCTGCAGACATTTTGCAGTGGAAAGATGAGAAGAAATATTACATACGTATGGTTCTGGTTCGATTTTTTTACTTTTTTTTCCTTGTGAAGAACTTTTTCTCATCTGCAGCCAAGCTTCTATTGCTGGTATGATTGCTCTTTTGGGTATGGCATTTTACCATCAAACTTTTAACTACAAAAGTTTGTGCATAAGATCTTTCTTTTCACTAGTTTAATCAATCTTCCAACAATCAGCCACTTTGCATTTTTATATGATTTTATCAGAGATGCAAGCTTTTGCCTCACTGATGTCTTGGCTTTTATCAGTTACGTGGTTATGTCGTCAAGCTGATAGCTTGGAAGATCTTTCAGCTCTACCGAATATATGATATTCTTTCTCTACAGATTTGGTCTCAAAGTTCCTAGCATACCTTTGTCTAGTTTTCAGATCTTAGAAACTCTAACAAAAAATCAATTGCAAGAATAGCATTTTTTTGGAACGAGGGGATTTGGAATTTAAGAACATTGGCCAAGGGGATGACTGGAATAACTTCATCAAGGTATGGATTTTGACTCTGATTCTTCTGCCTTGCATGTTACATTAGGTTATTTGTTCTCATGTCCCACATAAATTTGGCATTATGGGTTTATTTTACGTAGTATACTAGATTTTTTAATATAAAGATCCTCGGGATCATAATTTAATTTTAAGTTTTTTTCATATGAGCTTGATCATGCAATTAATATCTGTTCATGTGGGGATATTAATGTAAGGCTTGATCAACAAGTAATATGTAAACTTGTCTTTCTTCTAATTAATTAACTATTAAAGAATTTATTAAATCATAATAGTTGAACTTAAAAGATATCATTATGAAAAAGATAGTTAATTTAGTTTACCTTAATTTGTATATGATCCAGAAATCCGCTCATCACCACATCCCATTTCCTAGTTTGCCATAGCCTGTCTATATTATTCGATCAGTTCACTTTTCCGCACTAGTGTTAAATGCACCCATATTGCCGAACCTCATTAATTACCACAAAACAGTATGAACTCCAGGATGCAATATGTTACTCGTGTTCAATATATCCACCCATTAATATGATTACTAGTTAATTTTATCAGAGATGCAACCTTTTGAAATTGTAGGGCTGAAGATTATGTGTTATAAGTCTAATAGTGTTTCACTTGGCTATATTGGGTGGCAAACCTAGTGACTCAATATCAACATGATAGGAACACAAAACGTTCCAGGTATATAAAAATTATTTGACTGGGTTGTGTGCTGGTAGCCTAATAATTTGCATCAGCACTCAAGGTGATGTCTGATACCCGATATGTAGTTATGTCCTGTATCATGTCTGAAGGATATATGTTAATGGTTCTCTATATTTCTTTTGTATTGATGAATGAGGCATTTTGTGTTATTGCAAGAAAGCCCATATGCAATAAATTGCTAAATTTTAAGTAACATACAACTGATTCCATAAAAGAGCTTGCTTTGTAGAGCATGTTTTAAGTTAGATTTTGATAGTTCCTCATTTTCGTTATGGTGCATTTCAATGGGCATTGTATATCGAGTTCATTTATATGATTGTTGCTGTAAATTGACCTTGAACTCTATCGCTGCAGTTGCAGACATTTTACTGGTTTTATCTTTCTGGAAGAACTTTTACCTCGTCTGTAGCCAACCTTCTATTGTTGGTCTCAATTGCTCTTTTTGGATATGGCTTTTTACCATCAAACATGTAATCAGAAGTTTGTGGCGTAAAATATTTTTCTTTTCCCTTTTTTTATCAGTCTTCCAACAATCAGCCATTTTTCCACTCTTGTTGAAAGCTTGTTATTACTTTTGAAAATTCTGAAGCAAGCATCTGAGATGCTCTACTTTTTTTCTTAATTGTTCAGGAATTTCTAGTTTATGGTCCAAAATTTGGAGTGCTTTAGCCTTAAAAATTTATGTTTATATGATTTTTATCGGAGATGCAAGCTCTTGCCTCACTATCCTCTTAGCTTTGTCGGTTTATGTGATTTAGTCAAGTTGATTGTTTGGAAGATTTTTCAGGTCTGCTGACCATTTGATATGCTTTCTCTACAGATTTGGTCTCAAAGTTCCAAACTACCTTTGTCTAGTTTTGATATGATTCTCCGAATCATAATAAATACAATTACTGGTTAATTATAGTTATTTTCTCCCTGTTATTCTTACAATTGTTGTAATAAATATTTGTATTTTGATGGGTGTAGATGCAACATCAACATTATGTTGTGCTTTCTCTCTTTTGCTCTATGCTCGATATTTACTTTGTCGAATTTTGGGCTTACGTTTCGAAATCGATTCAGGTTGTAATTGCACTTTATCTTCTAAGTTGATCTTTTGAATTGTCCTTAACCGCCTAAATAGTCGTAGGTTAAGAAGTTTAGTTTGGCTGTTCCGCCGTGATTTGAAATCTCGATATATTTTCATCAAATGACCTTCTCTGGAAATTTAGCAGCTCTGGTCTTCTCTTTCACCGCATTCTTGTGTACAAGCAATGAATCAGAACTAGATGGCCTAGCAAAGCCCCTCTTAATTGTAGAAAGAAATCAAAATCATTGTTGATACGTGTCTACAAGCTGCTGTCGCATCATTTCTTGTAACTACAGGATATGCATGAACCCAACGCCTATACAGTGGTAAAAGACTGGCAAGACTCCACTGACTCGAATTTTCTCGAGTGAGTTTTAAACTGTTGTACATGATCTGGTAGCTTAATTAGGCTTTGTCTCAAAACTGTAGAGATGATTTTGTCTCCTAAAAAGATATATATATATAGGGATATATATTCATATAGTGCAAATTCCAGTTGTCAAATGATGTTCAACTTTTAATTGACCATTAGATATCCAAGTGTCTTAATTATCTCTATTACTCAAACCGTTGAATCTCTTAATCTCATTTCATATGCTTAGATGATCAAGGATATGTGAACTCCAAATATTCCAACATCAGAAGTCATCTCACTTCAACTAAATAACGAGATTCGTATTGTATCCAACTAAATTCGAATTAAGTTTGATCCAAACGATGCTTCTGGTAGTTGCTTCGATGTAGCCGTGGATAAGAAGAATTGCTTACATTATTCATTTATATGTTCTTGATGTGAAGTAAAAATCAATGACTTAAACGAGATATATATGGGAAATGACATAATACTACATATATGTTTCCAACTTTCTTTAAAAAATAAAAAAAAAAAAAAATCAAGAATTGTTTAATGTTTACATTATTCGAAGTCACAACTGGCGAGTCATGCTGCGGGTCAAGCTAGGTTTCAAAGTGTCCTGTAAGTCAATATTTTAGAAAGTCCTTGATGCAATAATGCAAAGTTCAGAGACCCACGCAACTTTTTCAGTACACATAAATTTTTTATTAGATTATGTATCAGCTTATAGGAACATCCATGTCACTTACAAAGAAAAAGTCAAGAAAGTGATTAATACGGTAATAATTAAACTTACATTCAGTTGTTGAATCATGATTTCACACATGCAAGAGATGACTTTTGACTTTCATGTATCTTAAGGGAGTTACTATATTGTGAACGCATATCTTGAGGATTTGATCACACTTTTCACAAAACAGCATACTTTGGTGGCTGTTGAAGAATTTCTAGAGCTTGGAACTAATCCTTCATTATTTGCAAATGGGAGATATTATTTATGCCCCTCATTGGAAGTAGTTTTTCACAAAGTTGCTTCTCAGTTTTGAAAGAATAGCTCTTAAATGCGGGTTTGAGGATGAGATAGACAAGCTTCGGCATTCAGTAAACATCATTCAGATAGTTCTTGAAGATGCAGAAAAGCGACACGTGAAGGAGAAGCAGTGAAACTATGGTTGGGTGAGCTTAAAGAAGTTGCTTATGATGTGACAATTTACTTGATGAGTTCTGCTTGGATGCTTAATGGCTAGGAGCCGAGGCTTCTTCATGACGAGGGTATTCGCTGACTTCTTTCAGTCTTTGAAACCAATTGCAGTTTATCTTGAATTGTTCTAAGCTAAAAGAAATCAATAACACTACGGACACCGAAATATGTCCACCGAATTTCTGTACCGGTTACGTGGAACGGTCCCTCAGTTTTTTTATAATTTTTTTCTAGTGAACGGCCGTCCATCCAATTTGGACGACCGTTCACTCACATGGACGCCCGTCCATGTTATATGGACGGGCGTCCATATGCAAGGGACGGCCGTCCATATAATATGGATGACCGCCCTATTAAATAAAAATAAAAAATTTATAAAAACTTAGGGACGGCGGGTCCATGTTATATGGGCGGGCGTCATATGCTAGGGACGGTCGTCCATAAATATGAACGTCCGTCCCTATTAAAATAAATAAAAAAATTTACAAAAGCTTAGGGACGGCCGTCCATACATTATGGACGGCCGTCCATTAATTTTGGAGCTCTCTCTCTCTTCTTCTTCGCTCACTCCATCCCTGTAACAACTCAAATCCACTAAAGGTTATTTTTGTTTTGTTTATGCTGTAATTCAGTGGGAGGAACCCATAATTAGAATCAGAAAAACTTACCCCAATAGAAGAAAAACCCATAAGCGAAGAGCTCCAAATAGATATGCAAAAAACACTTTTTCTCTGAAATGAAAGCTGAATAAGAATCAAATTCTACGAAATAAAGATCAGAAAGAACAGAATCTCACAAGAATAAAAGTCATCAAAATAATAAAAAATAATAAATATAAAGTTCACAACTTTCTCTAATCTCTCTGTATCTTTCTTCTTCTTGTCTTTCGGCAATATGGGCAAATGGGAAGACAAAGACTTTAAAGTTGTCTTCCATTATGGGCCAATGGGAAGACAAAGACGGTCTGTCATGATTCAGTGGGAAAATGGTGATCGAAATTCTGGGTCTACTAAAACGGTTGTACCTTCAGGGATCTGTTGTTGGAGAGGGGAGAATTGAATTCAATGAGTCTTTAGGCTACCTGTGACACTGTTGAGGGAAATGAATGTCAAAAACAAGGATGCGCTACGTTCCAGAAGAATTGTTTAGAGAAACTTGTATGAGCCTCGAAGGGAAAAAACTCAGTTGTTGGCGACTGCTATCGTAGATTGTCAGATTATGGCATCTTAAAGAGACATTAAGTGTGAATGCGAAGAAGAAGAAGAACAAATTTAAGTCTTTGTCTTCCCATGCCCATAATTGCCGAAAGACAAGAAGAAGAAAGATACAGAGAGATTAAGAGAAAGTTGTGAACTTTATATTTATATATTTTTATTATTTTGATGACTTTATTCTTGTGAGATTCTGTTCTTTCTGATCTTTATTTCGTAGAATTTGATTCTTATTCGCTTTCATTTAGAGAAAAAGTGTTATTTGCATATCTATTTGGAGCTCTTCGCTTATGGGTTTTTCTTTATTGGGGTAAGTTTTTCTGATTCTAATTATGGGTTCCTCCCACTGAATTACAGCATAAACAAAACAAAAATAACCTTTAGTGGATTTGAGGTGTTACAGGGATGGAGTGGAGCGAAGAAGAAGAAGAAGAAGAGCTCCAAAATTAATGGACGGCCGTCCATAATGTATGGACGGCCGTCCCTAAGCTTTTGTAAATTTTTTTATTTTATTTTAATAGGGACGGACGTCCATATTATTGGACGACCGTCCCTAGCATATGGACGCCCGTCCATATAACGGACGCCGTCCCTAAGTTTTTATAAATTTTTTATTTTATGTAATAGGGACGGTGTCCATATTATATGACGGCCGGCCCTGATATGGACGCCCGTCCATATAACATGGACGGGCGTCCATGTGAGTGAACGGTCGTCCAAATTGGATGGACGGCCGTTCACTAGAAAAAATTATAAAAAAACTGAGGGAGCGTTCCACGTAGGCCGGTACAGAAATTCGGTGGACATATTTCGGTGTCCGTAGTGTTATTGAAAAGAAATTAGAAAAAGATTAGACTTTTTGGCAACTGAAAGGCTTAACTTTAACTTGAAAGAAGGGGTTGTTGAAAGAAGGGGTGATGTTGAAGAGAAAAGACAAATTGGGTTTTCTAATTGAATCAGAAGTTGTTGGAAGAGGTCAACATAAAGAAGTTATAATCGGGCAAGTATTATCAAATACAGGAAGTGGGGTTAATGGAAAAATTTCGGTTATCCCTATAGTTGTATTAGGAGGTCTGGGAATAAAGACTAGCTCAACTTGCTATATAAAGAGAGGGTGACAGAGATTTGATCACGATGGATAAACTTACATGAAACATTATAATAGTATTATAAAGATTATAAAGAGTTAAGGATATCAAATCGACTGTTTTGAGGTTTAGTATAATTATATAAATTCTTTTATGATTTTTGAAATAATAAAATTTCTTTAGTTATTAATAAACTATTGTCTTTTGCTCGAACATATATCTATAAATTAATAAGTATTATTAAATTGTTTCGTTATATTATTTTTACACTTTACGATTTAACAAAATATTTTTATTACTTCATAAATTAGATATTTTTATTATATCAAACCGCAAGATCGTCAATATGATTCTTTTATATAATAAAATTAGTAATTATAATGAACTATACATAATATTATTTTAATAATACAAATATTTCAACAGAACTAGATGGCCTAGCAAAAGCTCCTTAATTGTAGAAAGAAATCAAAAACATTGTTGAAATGCTATCTACCAACTCCCGTCGCATCATTTCTTCGTAACTATAGGATATTGCATGAACCCAACGCCCATACAGTGCGATTGGTAATGATTCCATGACTCGTGTTTTTCTCGACTGAGTTTTAAAATGCTTATACATGATTTGATAGCTTAATTAGGCTTGTCTCAAAATTGTTCAATCTTTTAATTGACCATTAGATATAAATGTCTTTAATAGTCTCGATTACTCGAAATGTTGAATCTCATCTCACAACTTAGCCAAAAGTCTGAAGCAGAAGAAAGATTCAAGGTATCTTTTCATTGACCATTAGATATATTTGTACGGAATTTAATGTTGTCAATATTGAGAAGATGATCAAGGATATGTGAACTCCAAATATTTCAATACATATCGAATCAAATTTGATACACGTTTTTGATAAAAAAAAATAACGAGTTTTTGGTAATTTGCTCGATGTAGCCATAGGCAATTCCATGGGCTCTAGCAAGGCATGTTACGCATTGTTGGCCATATGGGCAATCCATGGGTTCTAACAAGGTCAAAACCTTAAGAATGAGATTAAACTAAAAGTAAATGAAGAACTTTGTATAGATATCAAGCAAATTCTGAAAAGTGCTTGCATTCTAAAGGTACTGGATGATAAAATATTAATATCTTTTACCGTCACTCCTTTATCACACTGTAAGAGAATGTTTATATAATGATTGGTTCCTATAATTTATTACTGTCATCCAATTTGTTTATAATAATGGCTATATTATAAAAAAAACATTTGAAATGCTTATGCAAATATAATTGTTCTACCATCTGTTACCAATTCTTGTAAATGGATACCATTGTTTCGAAATTTTGTAAGTATTCAGGGTCATAACAGAGACACAATGCTTTGGAAACACATTTATAATAAAAAATTATTACTAATAAAATAATGTGAAACATTATAAGTATCACAAATAATTAAAAACATCGAATCAACTATTTTGAGGTTTACTATAATTATATAAATTCTCTTAGATTTTTGAAATAATAAAATTCTCTTTATTATGATAAACTATAGTCTACTGCTTAAAACATATTAATATTTAACCTTTATAATTCTCGTTATATTATTTTAACCTTTACAATTAATAGTAAGGAGTTTTATATTCCACAAATTAGATTATTTTTTTATATCAAACTTCAAGACTGTCAAATAACTCTTTATAGATATAAAATTAGTGATCATAAGAATTATAATAATATTATTTTAATAATATAGTATTTCAACTAACATAATTAGCTTGATAATCTCGTTAATCTAATAAGAAAAAATTGTTCATATGACTTTTAAAAAGTAAAACCAATATCTTTAATTTTTAATATATCACATTCATCTATATGAAATATAAATTTTGATATATTAAAATTTTAAAGAACAAATAGAAAAAAAAAAAAAAAAAAACATTTTTAATATCATTGTAAATTAAATCAAATTTCAACAAACAAGATTTTCTTTGGGTTGGTCAAATGGATAATTTTGGAATTAAAAAGTAAATCCCCCTGCAATCGAAAAGCAACCATCCAACCCCGAACCTGGAAAACGCTCTTAATACATGGCTTTGAGATCCCCATTTTGTTCGTCTTCAATCTCCGAAACCCATCTCTGAAAGTTAATATTTCATCTTTGTTAGCTCACTTACACAACCTCACAACTTCAAGCTCCAACAATGAAGTTTTGTATTCTTTCGAAAAACCCTAGAACGATCCTCACTTGCAATCTCCAAGAAAACTGTCGATTAGGTAACTTTACTCTGAATGAAGCATTGTACTTTTTTCATTACATGTTATTCGCAACCCATCTCTCCAATTTCATTTTCACTACTTTGTTTAGTGCACTGGCAAAGAAGAAGCATTATTATGAAGTGATTTCTCTTTATAAGTGGTTGAATTCAACTGGGTTGTCTCCAGATTATTGTCTTTGATGTTTGACGATTGCTTGTGTAAGTCAGAATAGTCACGGTGAATACACTTGTGACTTTTTTTTTTTTTTTTAATTTCTATGATGCTTTTTCAATGGGAGTTGTTCATGTACGATCTTCTAAAAGCACTCAGGCGTGCACATCACAAATGTTGGCATGTATTATCGAGTGCACTTGTCTGTCCCACAAATTTTGTATTAATATGTAACACTGTAATAGTAAATGGGATAAGATCAATGTTCTAAAAATCGAATCGGACCAGTTGGTCGGACTGGGAACCGGCAACCTCTTCAGTCGGGTTCAGCTTGTAGGGGGTTTTTGTTATATTTTAAATCTGTAGGGGTTGATGAATTTTCTAGGGGTATTTTTAGTATTTCAAACTTTTTGGATTAATTCGTAATTTATTCAGGTATTTTTTGAAATATATTAAATTTTCAGGGACTGATTAAATTTTTTGGGGATATTTTTATAATATACTACAATTTAAAGACTAATTTACAATTTTTTAAAAATATTTTTGTTGCTAATGAACCGATCAAACCGCGACAAGGCTCTTGACAGAGTCAAGGTTTGGTCTTTTTAAACATTAGATGAGATTTTTTAAATTAAAATTTTGACATAAATATTTTACACAAATTTTAAGTTATATGAAATCGAGAAGTAAAATAAATTATATAGAATATTATTTTAATATTAGTCAGCTTTATAATGGTTTGATAAATTTGACATGATAATATAACGATATACCACCATTTACATAAATTCTAGAAAATCAGAAACAAAATCTTCAAAAAATTATCATAAAGAAAACGAAGTTGAAGCAACAATCGACTCGTGACGATGAACAAAATATTTATCTTTTAATCAAATTTAATGTAAAAATGATAAGTGAACAATTTACAAAACTAAAAATAATGAAGGGTGTTTTGTGAAATTTACAAAAGAATTTCTCTTTCATTCTCTCAGACCCATCTCTGAAAGGTAATCTGGTAATGTTTCATCTTTATTTACTCGCTTGCAGAATCTCACGACTTCAAGCACCCTAAATGAACTTTTATATTCTTCCAAAAAAATCCCTCAGCATAACCCACTTGCTAAATTCCTCAAAGAAAATTGTCGATCGGGTAACTTCACTCTAAATGAAGTTTTTTACTTTTTTGATTACATGATTCATACCCAACCCATTTCTCCAATGTCATCATCAAAATATGGTTTGGTGCACTTGCAAAGAAGAAGCATTATTATGAAATGATTTCGCTTTACAAGGGGTTGAATTCAACTGGGTTGTCTCCATATTTAATATCTTTTAACATTTTGATGAATTGCTTCTGTAATATCAAAAGGGTTTTGAATGGTTTTGCGGTTTTTGAGGGATTTTGAAGAAGGGTTTTAGCCCGGATGTTTTGACTTTTAATTGTTTGATTAAAGGTCTGTATGTAGAGAGAAAGACTATAGATTCAGGGGGGTTGTTTACGAAAATGGTTGCTGTTGGTTGTAGGCCAAATGTTGTTACTGATAATACTATAATTGACGATCTTTGTAAGGATGGATTAACTGAGAAGGCTAGACAATTACTTTTGGAAATGAAGGTTTTAGGAATTAGTCCAAAGGCAGTCACTTATACCACTCTAATTCATGGTTTGTGTTGTGTGGGTGATTGGGAGAAGGGTAAAAGTTTATTTATTGTGATGATGGATCAAGGTGTGCGGCCTTCTGTGGTGAGTACTGTGGTCATAAATGAACTTTGCTGAGAGGGAAATTAGACGAAGCAAATAGGTTGTTGGAACTAATGATTCAAAGAGGTATGGTCCTTGCATTTATACTAAAAACATTAATAGATGGTTATTGCTTGGCAGGAAGAATTGGTGATGCAAGGGAGTGTTTGATTCTCTAACTAGAAAGGGGTATACACCTATGTTGTTTGCTTCAATATTTAATCAATTGGTATTGCAAGAACCACCAAAAAGTCAGCAAAGCTCTATCCTCTATGGAGAGATGATTTCAAAGGAATTAAGTTTGATTGATGTACATATAACACTTTGTTAACTGGCCTTTTTCTTAAAGCTGAGTGAAAATGCACGGAAATTAGTTGATGAGATGCAATTAATGGTGTTATACCTAATTCATGATGGACTTTGCAAGAATGGTTGTGTGGAAGCAGTGGAAAGTTCTAATTAGTAAATAATAAATTTGCAGTTAGCCTTGAAAGTTTGGTTCCTCATTGATGGCTTGTGTAAAACAGGGAGATTAGAAATTGCTTGGGAGCTATTTCAGAAATTTTCTCAACATGAAAACCTAGTGCCAAAATTGTACATATAGCATTTTGATCAATGGGCTTTGTAAAAATGGACAACTAGAAAAGGCAAACAAGTTGCTGTCACACATGGAGGAAAGGTTGTGCTCCAAATGTATTCACATTTACTACGATTAGTTGGTTTCCTAAGAGTAACGAGGTTGCAAAATTTGTTGAACTCCTTCATAAGATGGCGAAGAGAAATGTGAGCTACTGAATGTCAATGTCCTTAGTCATGCAGTTACTATGAAGGACGAAAATTATCGTGAATGTTTGAATCAGCTTCCTCAATTTCCTGTCCAAACGCCACTTTTAAGTTTGCATGACAAAAATTTCGCGAGTTGTCAACTTTATTCAGAGTAGAATCCCTATCAGGAGACCTTTATTTGACAACATTTGAATATAAAACTGCAAAAGGTTCAGCCACCTGCGGAAAGGCTCTGTTTTAGTACTGGGCAAAGAATGTTCAATAATACATTTTATTGTATGCTACAATGATTTCTACCGATTCAGATCGGAGATCTAGACATTCTACATGATTTAACAGATAATTATTTGCCCGGTACTATTTACTCTTGATTCACAACACATTGTTGCAAAATTACAAGTTGAGAAAGAAGAACTTAAAACAGAGAAGGTTTACAGAAAAGGAGGAGGATATTTATAATGGAGATGAATCCTTAACATGCCATTGGAAAGTAAGTTCTTCTGCTTACTGCATTTCTCTTATAAAATGTTCTTCTGACATGTCTAATCATCCTTTGATCTTTTGATGTATACCTGAAACAGTTTCAGGATATGATGTGTGATCTTAAGGCTCAAGCAGAAGCTCTAGTTCTGTTTGCTAACAATATGGATGGCCTTCTGCATATGCTCTTCATCCTAGCAAGAGAGTTGTTTGCTTCTATAACTAGAAAGGGGTATACATCTCATGTTATTTGCTTCAATACTTTAATCAATTGGTATTGCAAGAACAAAAAAGTCAACAAAAATAAGATTTTATCTATTTATTTATTTTTACAGAGACGTACAATGGCATAAATATTGCCTTCAGAACAAGAACAAGAAAATAACATGCACAAAAATAATCCACAAGCAATTAAATACTTCAACATCATCACCAGTTACTTTTAAGTATTTCCTGGATAAGAGGAACAGCAGCTGGATCTCCACAAAGGTGAAGTTCATCAGCAGAGATCCCCAATAGAGCACGGGTAAATGAAAAACCCCTGGTCCTACACCCCAACATCTGGAAAGGAAAAGTACAGAAAGACATGAGACATAATAAAGATGATGACTCAAGGATTAACTAAAATTACTTTGCAATACGAATTTAAGCCCACATATGCAGTTATATAAGTAACAATGCTAAAAAAATGACAACCAATTTCGGGAAAAAGCAATTTTAGCATAATATTTGGTGTAATCCTATACTGAATGAATAATATAATACAATAAAAATATGACCTAACCAATTTCAAACATAGACAATAACTGGCAACAGGAAAAAGAATTGGCTTTGCTTTTGTTGGTGTTATTCAGGAAAGCCCCAGCTTTAATAATCACAAGTAAGTCCAATGGGAAGTAAAAAAGGGGAACAAAATAACTCTCAGATAAACTACCAACATGCCTGAATTTCGTCGATAACAGCACAATCATAATCAGTAGTAACATCAGCCATATCAACTGTCACAGCCTTGTGTTTTGCACCATCAACTTCCTCTCTCTCTTGTCCGGTAATTAGATCACAAGGAACGTTTGCCTTGTTCAACCTTTTTGCCACCTCCCATGCCAACAATCTCAATGGTCCACAATAAATGCCTGCATATGGCAGAAAACTAAAGCAACTAGTTGGCCAATTTCGAATAGCTATTTTACCAACACCTTAATGTTAACTAACAGATGAAATAACTAACACGTCTGACTTATGGTTTAATAAGCTTTAAGATCATACCAGTAGAACTTGATTCAAGCCGCTTCAGAGCCTGGTGTGTTTTACCACTGTTTGTAGGCCCCACATGTAAAACAACTTTGCGAATCTTGTTGCGAGCGCGTGGGTACCATGTATGAGGCCGACTAGCATTACACAAAAATGCACTCACGAGGGTTGTACTCCAAGAATGATGAACATGACCCAACAGACATTTATATAGCAACAAGAGTAATTTCTATAAGCCTAAGCGTATCGAGCACAAAACAAAGGCTTCTAAAATCTGATAATAAAGAGTGACAGAGATATTATAGTGTAGATGCAAAAAATCTACCGTCATGAAAATAGGGTGTGATCCTATGAGGTTGAGGTCACTGACAATCCGTTAGACCTACACACATAAAGAGCAAGCGTGATGCTTCCAGAAAACACCGAGGTGGTGTTTGCCGTAGGCACTCCAACGCTCAAGTCAGCGAGGCTGAAAGAGATTTAATAAGAATTAAGGAGAAGAAGAATTACCAGGATTCTTGTCGGAGGCTAGGACTACGACGGAGGCGTCGGGTTCTTGGGAGCAAGAACTTAGGAGGAAATAGATGGTTTTGAGTAGTGTAGATTGACTGTGGGAGATTCCCCTTAATGAGAGGGTAAGCCTCTGTTTTTATAGTAAACCTAAGGGGTTGGAGTCCTAGTAGGACACTGAGTCCTCTTTTTTGGGAGATAATCCCTATCAGGAAAGAAATATGATTTCTTCACCTTATCAGATTAAGTTTAATAATTTAAATAAGATTTGAAATCTTAGCAGGACATTAAGTCCTATTGTGGGAGATAATCCCTATCATAAAAAAGATATGATTTCTTGAACTTATCAGATTAAGTTTAATAGTTTGAGTAAGATTTGGAATCTTAGTAGAGGAGGAAATAGAATAGGATTCTGATTTCCTATTTATAGACTGTTGCAGGCTAATGGGCTGAAACCCAGTTTAGCTTAACTTATAGGATAGCCCAACTCAAGAGTGGGTAGGTCGCAAGGTGATTTTAAGCGTAAGCCCAATCGGGATTGGGTTGAGACTTTGGGTGGTGACATGTTTATTTTGTTATTGGGCCTCGTCAAGCCCAAGACGATTTTTGGCCCTAACAGTTAGCCCCCCACTCTCTAAGTTAAAGAGTATTTAGCTTAAAGAGTAGATTAAATCGAATGAGTGCAGACTAAGCGGATTAGTGATAGCAGCTCGTTAGGTCGGATGGATCGTTGTGTGGATTGGGTCGATGACTTGTCGATTTGAGGTGCAAGAACCCTTCAACCAATCTGGCTGACTGAATGTGTAGCTTTATGGATCGGGCAGGGCCAATCGAAGGTGCAAATCTATGAATTGAGCAGGGTCGATCCGAAGCTATAAATCTGTGGATCGAGCAGGGTCGATCCGAAGGTGTAAATCCATGGATCAAGCAAGGTCGATCCAAAGGTGTAAATCTGTGGATCGGGCAAGGCTGATCCGAAGGTGTATGTATGTTTATCAGGCAGGCTGATTTGAAGGTGTCCGTACGTTTATCGGCGTGGCCAATTTGAAGGTGTCCGTACGTTTATCGGGCAGGCCGATTTGAAGGTGTTCGTACGTTTATCGGGCCGACCGATTTGAAGGTATCCATATGTTTATCGGGCAGGCCGATTTGAGGGTGTCTGTATGTTTATCGGGCAAGCCGATTTGAAGGTGTCCGTACATTTATCAGGCCGGTCGATTTGAAGGTGTCCGTACATTTATCGGGCAGGCCGATTTGAAGGTGTCCGTACGTTTATCGGGCAGACCGATTTGAAGGTGTATGCCAAGTAGAGTTTGTATGGAGCTTGCGGTCAAGTTCGCGTGACCGACTTATAGTTGAAACCTTTTGATTGAAGCTGGAGCAGTGACTTGCATGGCATGCATGTTTTAAGCAAAGAGCCAAGTGGGGAGCTAATATGCGTGGTGTTCATGTGTAATAAACCAAATAAAATAATAAGCCAAATAGAGAAAGAAAAAGACAAATGGGGGTGAATGTTTCTACCATGTGATTGGCAAAAACTAAGCAAAATGAAGTTTTAAGTAAAATGTACCAGGGAAAAATGGTGTGCACGCTAAATGTGCCAGAGTGGTTAGATTGAGCTGTGCCGAATGACCGATTGTAACAGAATAAGGCAAAAAAGCCGAGCTGATTAAATATTGTGCATTTTAATTAATGCAGATGCAACTGGCAATGGTCGATGTATTAGTGCGACTGACT